AAAGTTCAGCTGGTCTAGTCGGTCTTTCCTGACTTAGTCGCATCCTACAGCAAAAGCCATGGTCCGCAGAGAGCTTCCTAACCATCAGAGGGATCTCATTGTTAAAAAGGTATCAGTCAGGAGAAGGGTACAAAAGAATTTCCAAGGCATTAGATATACCATGGAACACAGTGAAGACAGTCATCATCAAATGGAGAAAATATGGCGCAACAGTGATGTCACCAACAGGGACGTCGCCAAGAACTGGACGTCCCTCCAAAATTGATGAAAAGACGAGAAGAAAACTGGTCTGGGAGGCGGCCAAGAGGCCTACAGCAACATGGAAGGAGCTACAGGAATATCTGGCAAGTCCTGGCTGTGTGGTCCGTGTGACAACAATCTCCCGTGTTCTTCATATCTCTGGGCTATGGGGTGGAGTGACAACAAGGAAGCCTTTTCGTACAAAGAAAAACATCCAAGCCCGGATAAATTTTGCAAAAACACATCTGAGGTCTCCCAAAAGCATGTGGGAAAATATGTTCTGGGCTGATGAACGCAAGGTTGAACTTCTTGGCAATAATTCCAAAAGATACGTTTGGTGCAAAAACAACACTGCCCATCACCAAAAGAACACCATACCCACCGTGAAGCATGGTGGGTCCATTCTCCACGGTCCCACTGTACCTAGGAACGTAGCCACGCTCTCTTGCTGGCTCCTGAGATGGACTATGGGACGTGCCGTTCGCATATTGCAACTAACATGCAATACTCATTCCAAACAACAGGAAGTGAGGAGGGAAAGGAGGAGGTTCGGGAGCGCACGGGGGCTTTACATGGAGGAAGAAAAACACAGCAAGAAACAATTTCATGACAAATAGAGGGCGGGTCATTCAGTCGTTATTTTGGGGGGGGGTATGGAATTTGCGGGATATATCTATTTATAACTATTTTTGGCAATAAGTGCTAAAAATAACAATCACAAACACACGTGATAGAACTTGGTGAATACAGACTGAGCCGCCCCCCCCCTTCTATTTGCAATGACTGAACTCCATGTCCAGCCCAGCCATGTGCAGGGGGTCAGGTCCTGTGTACTGCGCTATGGAACAGGCAGCAGCCATCAATTAAAAAACATCCACTGCCAGTCAAGTGATCACCATGCACACCCCCCCATAACAACACAAGCAGCCAATATACACCCCCTCATCTGCCCCCCACCACCTCTGCTCGTCCCCCTTTACTCACCCAGGCCGCTAAAATGTGACTTTCCCTCCTAGCTGCATCCACATCCCGAGCACACAATATCCCCGGCACCGCTCCGAGCGCTCCTTGCCACTTCCTGTCCCAAGATACAGCACCATTTTGTCTGAGCCACATGCCATTGAAAACTTAGGCACAAAAGACTCCGAGAAGATGGCCGCCGCCGTGGAAAGCCCTCTGCCGGAAGGAGACAACTTAGCTACAAAGCAAACCTGCCTCAGTTTGGCACTACTTCCGGGTCCTGTGCCTTTATCCTTCACACATATAAACAAATAAATAAAATTACACACTAGTTGAAGGATATAAAGTCATATTTGGGTTTTTTTTTCCAATATAGTCACACACTTATATCTTCCAGTTAAACACCAAATGTTTTCATTGTTGTTATTGGCCCTTTTGCTGCATAAGCCACTTTTCTTTCCACGAGCACATAAAATGCCAATCTTTGGCCGGAAAATAAATTGAAACTGCGCGCTGCATCTGAGCACTGCAAACCAAAAAAATGCTGTGTACTTCATTATTAACCCCTTGTCCTCCAGAGGATTTACCCCCCTTCCTGACCAAGCCATTTTTTGCGATATGGCGCTGCGATACTTTGACAATTGCGCGGTCATGCAATGCTGCACCCAAATAAAATTTACATCCTTTTTTTTTTTTCCCCCCACAAATAGAGATATTTTTCAGTGGTATTTGATCACCTGTACGTTTTTTTTGCACTAAAAACAGACCAACAATTTTGAAAAAAAAAAAACAATATTTTTAATTTTGCTATAAAACATATCCGTTAAAAAAAAAATGGAAAAAAAAACAAATTTCTTCATAAATTTAGGCCAAAATGTGTTCGGCGCCATGAGCGCATAAGATGCCAATCTTTGGCCGGAAAGTAAATTGAAACTGCGCTGCATCTGAGCACCGCAAACCAAAAAAATGCTGTGTAATTCATTATTAACCCCTTGCCCTCCAGAGGATTTACCCCCCTTCCTGACCAAGCCATTTTTTGCGATATGGCGCTGCGATACTTTAACTGACAATTGCGCGGTCATGCAATGCTGCACCCAAATAAAATTTACATCCTTTTTTTTTTTCCCCACAAATAGATATATTTCGGTGGTATTTGATCACCTGTACGTTTTTTTTGTTTTTTTTTGCACTATAAACAGATCGACAATTTTGAAAAAAAAAACAATATTTTTCATTTTGCTATAAAACATATCCGTTAAAAAAAATGGAAAAAAAATCAAATTTCTTCATATATTTAGGCCAAAATGTATTCTGCGACATGTTTTTGCTAAAATAAAAAATACGTGTAAATTATTTGGTTTACATGAAAGTTATAGCGTTTACAAATGGCGGTATACAGTGTATATTCACATTTTTTTTCTTTTATATTGATAATGGCGGCGATCAGCGACTTATAGCGGGACTGCGGCGGGCATTCTGACACTGGGGGGGGGGGGACTGACTGCCACTGACATCCCCAGTGACACCAAGACAGTGATCAGTGCTAATAAAAAGCACTGACACTGTACTAATGGCACTGGGCAGGAAGGGGTTAACATCTGGGGCGATCAAAGGGTTAACTGTTTTACTTGGGAGACATGCTGCTGTGCAGAGAGATACAAAGCAGCATGTCCATGCTGACAGGAGAGAGACCTGTGTTGTTTACACTCAGGTCTCTCCCCTCTCGGCCCTGCCAACAATCACCAAGTCCAGGCTGGGAATCGCCGGTTATCCCCAGCAGCCAATAGCAGCCCGCGCCCCCTATCCTGAACTGCAAGTCATGTATGTATACGTGATTTTGCGCAGCCTTGCAGCCCTGTAGCAGTACTTCTGCTATACAGTGGAGGGCACATAATTGATATTCAAAGCAAACTCTCCCGTCCGTCTATATCTCCATGCTTTATTTTCCTGAGAAACAAATTTGAAAAACACCCCCTGGTATTTCTGGCAGTGGCCATCTTGAGTAAGGGCAGATGATTCATCCAGCATTTACTTCCTGGAATCCATCTGCTCTTAGCTCAGCAATGGATCAACTGTGGGTGTAGGATTATAACTTTTTTTTTTTAAATGGTTGAACTGGGTGGACTTTTGTCTTTTTTCAGCTGGACTAACTATGTAAGGTATTGGCTGAGCTGAGAACCCTCCTTCCCCTCCTAAAGGCTCATGGGATGTATGACATAATTTGCCTAGGCATGGAAACCAGGAAGTGCCTGAAAAAAATGTAAAAAAAAATCGCTGGCCTGGACGCGGCAATTGACATCCCCAGCAGCCAATAGTGGCACAGGTAGAGCGACGCATGTGCGCACCCCCAAACCGGAAATGCAAATCATGTATATAAACGTGATTTTGTGCATCCATGCCGCCCTGTAGCAGTACTTCTGCTATAGGGTGTGGGGAAAGGGGTTAACATTCAAAGCAAACTCCCCCATCAATCCGTGTCTCCATGCTTGATTTTACTGAGAACATTTTTTAAAAAACACTCCCTGGTATTTCTGGCAGTGGCCATCTTGAGTAAGGGCAGATGATTCATGCAGCATTTACTTCCTGGAATCCATCTGCTCTTAGCTCAGGTATTGGCTGAGCTGAGAACACTCCCTCCCCTCCTAAAGGCTCCTGGGATGTATGACATAATTTGCCTAGGCATGGAAACCAGAAAGTGCCTGAAAAAAATGTAAAAAAAAAATCGCTGGCCTGGACGCGGCAATTGACATCCCCAGCAGCCAATAGTGGCACAGGTAGAGCGACGCCTGTGCGCGCCCCCAACCGGAAATGCAAATCATGTATATAAACGTGTGCATCTGTGCCGCCCTGTAGCAGTACTTCTGCTATAGGGTGGGGGGGAAGGGGTTAACATTCAAAGCAAACTCCCCCATCAATCTGTGTCTCCATGCTTGATTTTACTGAGAAAAAATTAAAAAAAACACTCCCTGGTATTTCTGGCAGTGGCCATCTTGAGTAAGGGCAGATGATTCATGCAGCATTTACTTCCTGGAATCCATCTGCTCTTAGCTCAGTGATGGATCAACTATGGGTGTAGGATTATAACTTTTTTTTTTTAAATGGTTGAACTGGGTAGACTTTTGTCTTTTTTCAGCCAGACTAACTATGTAAGGTATTGGCTGAGCTGAGAACCCTCCTTCCCCTCCTAAAGGCTCATGGGATGTATGACATCATTTGCCTAGGCATGGAAACCAGGAAGTAACTGAAGAAATGTAAAAAAAAATAAATAATCGGACTGGACACAGTGATTGACGTCCCCAGCAGCCAATAGTGGCACAGGTAGAGCGGCGCATGCGCACGCCTCCTAACCGGAAATGCAAATCGTGTATATAAACGTGATTTCACGCAGCCATGCCGTCCTGTAGCAGTACTTCTGCTATAGGGTGGAGGGCAAGTGGTTAGCCACTTGGTTTCCGGGCAAATTCTGACACTTCTACATGTAAAAGTTATATATATTTTTTTTTTGCTAAAAAATTACTCTTATAACCCCCAAACATTATATATATATTTTTAACAGAGGCCCTAGCCTAGACCAATGATGTCAAACTGGCGGCCCTCCAGCTATTGCCAAACTACAAGTCCCATGAGGCATTGCAAGATTGACAGTTACAAGCATTACTCCCAAAGGCAGAGGCATGATGGGACTTGTAGTTTTACAATAGCTGGGGGCCTCCAGTTTGACACCCCTGCCCTAGCCAATAAAATGATGGGTGTTGCCATATTTTTATGTCACACGGTAGTTGCGCAGATGTTTTTCAAAGGTACATTTTTTGGAAAAAATACAATTTAATGGATTTTAGGGCACAAAAACACAATATAACACCAATTTTTTTTTTTTAAATATAAAAAATGATGTTACACCAAGTAAACAGATACCCAACTTGTCACGCTTAAATTTGCGCACGCTCGTGGAATGTCGACAAACTACTTTAAATTATCCATAGACGACACTTTAAAAGCCTTTTCAGGTTACCAGTTTAACTGCTTCCCGACCGCCCTATAGCAGAAATACTGCTACAGGGCGGCAGGGCTGCGCAAAATCACATATATACGTGATTTTGCATTTCCGGGTAGGGGGCGTGTGCGCCGCCCTACCCACACTGCCATTGGCGGCTACAGATGTCAATCACCGGGTCCCGGCCCAAGATTCCCCACCAGCAACCGGCAATCGCCGAGTGTCACTGAAGGGGGAGAGGTCTGTGTGTAAAAGATTCAAGTCTCTCTCCTGTCAACAAGGACATGCTGCTTTGTATCTCTCTGCACAGCAGCAAGGCTCCCTAGTAAAACAGCACACAGTTAACCCTTTGATCACCCCAGATGTTAACCCCTTCCAGCCCAGTGCCATTAGTACAGTGTCAGTGCTTTTTATTAGCACTCATAACTATTAGTGTCACTGGGGATGTCAGTGGCACTTAGGCAGTTCCCCCCCAGTGTCAGAATGTCTGTCGTAGTCCCGCTATCGTCGCCATCACAAGTATTTAAAAAATAAATAAATCCCAGTATACATACCGCCATTTGTAGACGCTATAACTTTCCCGTAAACCAATTAATTTACACATATTGGGATTTTTTTTTAGCGAAGACATGTCGCAGAATAAATTTTGGCCTAAATTTATGAAGAAATTAGATTTTAAAATTTTTACTAGACGTTTTTATAGCAAAAAAGTCAAATATATTTGTTCAAAATTGTCGGTCTTTTTTTATTTATAGCGCAAAAAAATAAAAAACTCACAGGCAATCAAATACCACTGAAAGAAAGCTCTGTGGGAAACAAAAGACATAAACTTCAGCGTTGCATGACCGCGCAATTGTCAGTTAAAGTAACGCAGCGCCGTAACACAAAAAATGGCCTGGTCAGGAAGGGGGGTAAATCCTCTGGAGGAGGGCAAGTGGTTATAGTTACTCAGGAGGTCTGTTACTGGAATTATTGTTCTCGCTCTGACGTTCATGGCGATACATCACATGTGTGGTGTAATCACATAACATATGTGTGCGGGACCCAAAGCGTGCGTTCACCTTTGCGCGAGAGGACAGGGTGGCTTTAATTTTTTTTTTTTTTTTTTTACATTCCTTGTGACAGCAATAGGCAGTGACAGGTACTCTTTATGGAGTACCTGGGGTCTATTAAGCCCCCATCTCTCCTTGAGGCTCCAATGCAGCCAATCAGAGACAGATCGGTCTGATCGGCTGCTTTGCTGGCTGGTAAGAGGCTTACTATTTTTTTTTTTTTGCTTTGTTGATTTTTTGTCAGAACCAGGGGCGGACTGACCATTTGGAAACTCGGGCACTGCCCAAGGGCCCGGGGTCAGTAGGGGGCCCCATGAGATGCCCCTGGTAACCTTTTGCATAGGCTTTTTTGAGTTTGGGCAAGGACACAGGGGCCCCATGATCCCCTATTGCCCGGGGGCCCCATGAGTTGTCAGTCCGCCCCTGGTCAGAACCTTTCACTGAATGCAACTTTGAAATCGCGCTATATCACTTGAATTTGATTTCAAAGCTGCAGATCAGTGCGATTTGTACCTCCGATTTCACTGTGCCATGCCACTTCATTTAACAAAAGTCAATGCAAGTTGCAATGAAATTCTACAAAAAAAAGTAGTGCAGGAACCATTTTTTTACATTGCGCTACTTCAAATCGCACAGATTGAGGCAGCACCATAGAAATACATTAGACCGGACTTCTGGTGCGATTTGTAAATAACATGTTGCACCTGAAGTCGCACCGGTATGAACCAGGGCTAAGCCCTGATTCACACTGGATGCCAGGGGCGGACTGACAACTCATGGGGCCCCCAGGCAATAGGGGATCATGGGGCCCCTGTGTCCTTGCCCAAACTCAAAAAAGCCTATGAAAAAGGTACCAGGGGCATCTCATGGGGCCCCCTACTGACCCTGGGCCCTCGGGCAGTGCCCGAGTTTCCAAATGGTCAGTCCGCCCCTGCTGGATGCAACTTGACATGAGATTTGCATGCCCTGCGACTTGCAAACTGCATGCCAAGTTACACCCTACAATTACCAATTACAGTGGTCATATTGGTGCAATTCTGACTTGGTCGGAGCCACACTGATATCAAAAGTAGTGCATGCACTACTTTTGGTGCGATTTGCATAGACATCTGTATCAGATGTCTTGCAAATCGCACCTGATATCGGCGGGACCCCCGACTTTGAAATTGTGCGACTTCACTGTAAGTTACACTGAAGTCGCACGATTTCAAAATCGGGTGACCTGACTATTTCCTTGTGATTTCTAAGACATCTGACACAGATGTCTATGCAAATCGCATGAAAAGTAGTGCATGCACTACTTTTGATATCAGTGCGGCTCCGACCAAGTCAGAATCAAAACAATTTGACCACTCTAATACCGGAAAACATGGTGCGACTTGGCCTACGATTTGCAAGTCGCTTGGCATGCAAATCGCATGCCAAATCGTACCCAATGTACGGCTAAGTGCCTGGTCATACCGGTGCGATTTGTGAATTGAAATCATACCTGAAATCGCATCTAATGAATGTGAATGTCAGTGTCTTAACACGTGCGATTTGCTGCAAGTCGCCTGGCATGCAAATCGCATGCCAAATCGTACCCAATGTACGGCTAAGTGCTTGGTCATACTGGTGCAATTTGTGAATTGAAATCGTACCTGAAATCGCATCTAATGAATGTGAATGTCAGTGTCTTAACACGTGCGATTTGCTGCAGCGTGATTTATAAAGTAGTTCTTGCATGACTTTTTCTGAAGTTTTGTTGCGATTTCACATATATAGAATATAATGGAAATCGCACTGCAAATTGCAAGAAATTGTTGAAAATCTTCACAAGTAGCAATAAAGTCTTCACAAATCGCACCTGAAATCGCGCTGAAATTGCACACAAATCGTGCGATTTTAAATTGCAGAGGTGTGACCTTAGCAAGCAAATCGCACATGTTAAGACACTGACATTTACATTTCTTAGATGCGATTTCAGGTGCGATTTCAATTTGCAAATTGCACCAGTATGACCAAGCACATAGCCCCCAGTCACATCGGGTACTTTTTGGCATGCCATGCGACTTGCATATCGTAGGCCAAGTCGCACCCTATTGTCCGCTATTAGAGTGGTCATATCAGTGCGGTTCCAACTTGGTCGGAGCCGCACCGATTTCTAAAGTAGTACATGCACTACTTTTTGTGCGATTTGCATAGACATCTGTGTCAGATGTCTTGCAAATCGCAAGGAAATCATCAGTCACCCGATTTTTAAATCGTGCGACTTCACTGTAATTCGCATGATTTAAAAATCGGCTTTTATGTCACCGGGGGCTTAAAGTTATATTAAGCCCCCTTTCACATCAAGCCCGACTTTGAAATCATGCAACTTACTTACTTAAATCGCACGATTTCAAAGTCGGGGGACCCGCCAATTTCAGGTGCGATTTGCAAGACATCTGATATAGATGTCTATGCAAATCGCACCAAAAGTAGCGAATATACTACTTTTGAAATCAGTGCGGCTCCGACTGAGTCGGAACAGCACTGATATGACCGCTCCAATTGCGGACAATAGGGTGCGACTTGGCATGCAATTAGCAAGTCGCAGGGCATGCAAATCGCATGCCAAGTCTCATCCAGTGTGAACCTGGGCTTAGCCCTGGTTCATACCGGAGTGACATGCGATTTACAAATCGCACCTGAAGTCCTATCTTGATTTACTAATCGCACCTGAAATTGTACCGGTATGACCGGGCACTAAGGGTCGGTTCACACCATAGAAACGCAGTTTGGACCAGGGGCGGACTGACAACTCATGGGGCCCCCGGGCAATAGGGGATCATGGGGCCCCTGTGTCCTTGCCCAAACTCAAAAAAGCCTATGAAAAAGGTTTGGACACATTTCATCATGTACATGATTAACGCATTCCAGTGCGCTTTTGATGCGTTCTAGGTGCTATTTTTTTTTCTCCCTTTTATAGGTCATCTGGGATCTAGTGCGTTTTTGATGCATTTTACTGCATTCCAGTACAGTTCTGTGCAGGAAAAAGGCAGCTTGTTTTACTTTCTTTTCTGGAACCGGAACGCACTGGAACTGCAAGCACTGGTGTGAACCATGCCATTGACAACCATATAACCTACTTTCTGTGCGTTTTGGATGCAGAAAAAAAAATGCATGCACTGAAACTCAAGTAGTGTGAACTGGCCCTAAGTCCTCATGCACACTAGACATTTATAATGCTGCTCTTAGGGGTGTCCGGTGTTTTGTTTTTTTTTTCCTGCCTCTAAACACCCCTGCATGTTAGCCTATGGGAGAGATTTACTAAAACTGGAGTGCGCAGAATCTGGTGCAGCTGTGAATGGTAGCCAATCAGTTTCCAGGTTTTATTGTCAATGGTAATTGGACAAGCTGTAGCTAGAGCAGGGGTGGGCAAACCTTTTGACTTGAGGGCCGCAATGGGTTCATATATTGGACCCGGGGGCCGGACCAAGAGTAGATGAATGATGTGTATGTGTCATCCATAGTAAGTATAGTAATATTCCCCCATAGTAAGCATAGTAATTAATCCCCCATATAGTAATTCATCCCCCAAAGTAATTCGTCCCCCACATAGTAATTCGTCCCCCATAGTAATTCATCCCCCATATAGCAATTCATCCCCCATAGTAATTCATCCCCATAGTAATTCATCCCCCCATATAGTAATTCATCCCCCATAGTAATTCATCCCCCCATATAGTAATTCATCCCCCATAGTAATTCATCCCCCCATATAGTAATTCATCCCCCATATAGTAATTCATCCCCCACATAGTAATTCATCCCCCATATAGTAATTCATCCCCATATAGTAATTCATCCCCC